CAGGTAATGGCTTTGTAGTGTCTTTTTAGAATGTTGTTTTTGCCACACAGAATTGAATGTTGACACAACTATTTCCGATAGGAATGAGGATGTAGATCAGAAATAAGCATGCAATTGGAAGTATTTAGTGGATGAATATCATTAGTCTTGTGATTTTTGTTATAAATAGTTAATTTTGCCACTTACTGTAATAAGGAAAAAAACCACCTCTGTATATTTTGTTATAATCTGACATGCATTTTTCCCCCCAGACGTTTCTTGAAAAAAATAAGCCACAACAAACAAGAAATACAACATCAACACAAATGACTAAAATTGGCCTGTACGTGTCAAACATGACTGACAAACTAGTAAGTCCTGGGAAGTATCTTACAGCAGAAGAATACCATAAACGTAGACTTGAAGCAGTAAGTTTTCATCTGTTTGAAACTGTATCTGTAAAGCAAAGTATTATGAAGGTTATCTGAATATTTAATGAGTGTTCAGAGTGTTCAAAGAGTGAATTCAAGTGAACTGCAAAATGTCTGCTTAATCTTCACATTTTGTAATCTTTTCGACATGAGGGAAGCATGTGTCTGCTCATTTACAATATCAGTGTTTATAATGACATTTGAGACCTTGTGGTTTCTTAAATATTAAGAACTGTGATTTTACTGGCTTCTTTCTTACAGCGACAGTTTAGCTTCCATACAGAGTATTAGGGATTAAAATAGGCTTGTCCTTATGTCACTCTCATGATCTCTTTAGAAGGACCTAAGATACAGACTGGATATAAGGAAGAAATATTTTACGATGAGGGTGGTGAGACACTAGAATGGGTTGCCCAGAGAGGTGGTAGATGCCCCATCCCTGGCAGCATTCAAGGTCAGGCTGGACGGGGCTCTGAGCTGAACTAGTTGAAGATGTCCCTGCTCATGGCAGGGAGGCTGGACTAGATGACCTCTAAAGGTCCCTTCCAACCCAATCTATTCTATGATTTTGTGATTCTACATGCTTAATGTATGGCCTCAGATGGATAGAGTGTTGGGTTATGATTTAGGAAACCTGCATTCAGCTTATGGGTTTTGGCGTTTGTTTATTTGTTTTAACAGGCCTGACAGTTTACCTTTGGCATACTGCTCTGTTTTGGATTGTGTTCAAAGTCCTGCTTTGGCATTGAGGTAGAACCTGGCTGTTCAAACACACACAATGGGCTTGGGGAGTTTTTTTGTGCACTGAGTTGCCTCATGCAGGCAATTCTGATAGCAGGTTCTGTATAGTTATTGTGCAGAGGATGCCATTTAGGCATTCTGAACTGCTTTTTGAAAACCACATATTCAGTGACTGCACTCCTAACTTAAGTACACCCAACATCATGTTAGGCGGGGCACTGCTTTGTAAATGGTCTAGTTATTAATTTTTTTGCTTAAAATAGACAGTGTAAATCTAACTAAATGGGGAAACCCCATGTGTACAAGTAGGATAATTGTATTGATGTGGTTGGCAAGATGCTTTGACATCTTCTGGGTAGAAGTTTTCTGTAAGAACTTCTTATTTGGTCAGCATCAGCTGATGACAATAAGTGTCTTGTAGAAGTGAAACCCAAATAGGTAGCCATTTCCTCAGGACTGCCAATAGGTTTTACTGTGATCATTAATGCCTCTTACTGAAACCTGTAATGTATTTGTAGGTCATCCATAAAGCACAGGAGAGAGACATCAGCTTGGTGTTGGTTCAAGTTGGTGGATTCACACAGTGCAGTGTAGTTCCATATTGAAATACTAGCTGAAGACATATTCAAGAGAAATGTTAGGTTAAGATATCTCTAGAGACAGTGTAACTGTATTCATATGGTTTTGTGCTTGATAGCTTTCAAGTGCTGAAAAGTGCTTATTAGCTCATGGGATTCACCTGGCTAAATTGCTGGTGGGGCAAGTGCTAGCTCAGCTGGCAGAAGCTCCGGCTTGTGCATTGTGCTCCCTTAGCTTAGTATAGACATTTCCCTAGTCTTCAGTGGCCAAAGCTTTGGAAGGTGGATTTTTTTTAATTTTATTTTTAAGTTCTGTCATAACACCACCGGTAATTTCACTTTCATTATTTGTTTACAAACAATACTGCAGCTGATTTTGTGTGTATGTGTGTTGATTTTTGTGTTTAGAAATTTAAAAGAAATTTTGCAAATAAATGTCTAAATTCCCAATCTAGACACTATATAAATGGGTAATAAGATGAGGAGCTCTGCCCACAAAGCTGAAGAGAAAATAATAAAAACAATACGTGGCAAAAGGTGTTTTTAAGGAGAGATTTGAAAAAGAGATTTTGTAATTGCTGTTTATACTTGATTATTTGAACCTAGTTTCTCCACTGTACTCACTGATTAAACTCCTGCAGTTACCTACATAGGTAAGCATACTAGTGTTTAGACTATAAAAGTACGTGACTCTTTTTGTAACATTTAAATTAGTCCAAGACAAATCTTTGAAAATGTAGTTAAGTAGCTAGAAAAAAATATTATGCTGTCTTGTTTTAAATTCACGATTCTTTGGTATTGTATCACATGTAGGTAATAGTACTACAGAAGTATTTCCGTCGTTGGCATGCTACAAACATAGTACAAAAGCTGAGGGAAGCAAAGAGGTTAAGGCTAGCATGGGAGGCACAAGAAGAGTTACGGAGAAAAAAAGAGAAAGAAGAAAAACTGAGAAGGGAGCACAAACGAAGACTGAACCCTAAAACAAAAGAAGACTTTGAGCTACTGTACCAAGCTTTACGATGTAAGTTTTTTCTTAAACGGATACTCTTAAATCAGCAAAAGAGTACAGTTTAAAACAAACTCTTCTGGTTTTGACATGTTTCTATAGATACTTCCTTGATTATTTTTTTTTGTTGTTTTTGTTTTTGGTTTTTTTACCTAGAGTGGAATTCCTTTAATTTTTAAAGAATCATTTGACTTTCTTACAATTCTGAAGAAGAAAAGGCCCTGACACTGTGTAAGCATTTTTTTTTGTTGTTTTTGTTTTTGTTTTTTTTACCTAGAGTGGAATTCCTTTCATTTTTAAAGAATCATTTGACTTTCTTACAATTCTGAAGAAGAAAAGGCCCTGACACTGTGTAAGCACTGTTTAGCAGTAACTAAAGCATCCCTGTGTTATCAGCACTGTTTTCATCACAAATCCAAAACATAGCCCCATACTAGCTACTATGCCAAAACCAGCACACCTTTTTAGGAAATAATCAGCTTGTAGAATAATGTTATTTGGCAGGGTTTTGTTTTTTGGTTTTCTTTTTTTTAATTTTATTTTTTATCCAGCCCTAATGTTAAGATCTGCTAGAGGAACAGGAACTGGTTTTCTGGATCAGAGTTACTTTAATCTTGTTACTCTACATTAGGATGCTGAGTATAATACTGTGAAGAAATTACTATTAGGATCCATTGTTTGTCATTTAATAGAGACATTTTTTATAATGGATTCAATTTTTGTCCAGAATTTTACAATATATGACTGTGGTTATTCCTTTTGTACTAGTCATCTTCTCCTTCTGCTTTTTCTCCTTTCTAATTTATTCCATGTTTCACAAAATTGTGTTGTCAGAATTTTAAAAATCTGTTAGGAGTCCTACAGGGCATCCTGAAAGACTTACTTTTCCTGTTGGAGTGGATGGTGTCTAATCTAGGCAAGCACCTCTAAACTTTCCTAGAAAAATAAGGTGAATACTGCAGATAATTGGCATATTTTACAGGAGAATAATGTTGTGAATGTAACAAAACCCCTAGAGTATGTCCTTTTGGAAAAACAGAAAAAATAGAAAGCAGTGGACTTTGAGCTGCATATAAAGGAACTGCAAGAATTCCCTTTAGAATGTCTCCTTTTAAGCAAGTTGCTTGCATTGTGACTTCTAACAACTCAATTGTTATCTAAGGCTACAGTGCTTGCTTATGGTATAACTCTTCAGCAGTTTGGGCATTATTGTCCCCGTAGCAGAACTGGCCTACTGGATTACCTGCTTCATTACAAAGCCACCCGACATACCTTAAACCATCCCAGCTATTTCTTCCATGGTAAACTGAGCATAAATTTGGTGGTGTGTGTTATTCATAGAGCTTAAGATCAAGATTCAAGAATTCCCAAGCTATACGCTAATCTTTTAATACCGTCATACTTTGTGTGGCATTGAACAAATAGTTTAGTCTGAATGTATAAATCACTTACTTACAAATATTACTGTTTGTGACAAATGTAAAAATTATTACTGATCTTAAACTTTAGAATTTTGGGAATGGTATCTTCATGAGATTTGTGGTTTCTTAGGGGTTGTTTCCACTGCCCAGCTTTTTCTTCATAGGTAGCTCTTCACAAGAATCAAGCCCTTTTAAAGGTGTGTCTGACTAGGTAATCAAAAGCCAAGGTACTCAAATAAATGGAGAGGAAAAAAATTATTATGGCAAGTGCTACTATTTGGTATCTGATTTCCTGCAATATTTTCTTTAAAAAACTGCTTCGTAGCTAATATGCTTTAAAAAAAACCCGAAAAGTGTTATGAATCTTGTTTATAATAGAAACAACAAAGTGGAGTCAAAGTTTTGAATATGTGCTGATATTCCCAGTATTTTTAGATTTTAAACTTTATGGTTATATAAGTGTCCCTCTTGCTTAATTTAATGTCATTGGTTCACAAATAATAAAACTTTCAGCTTTGCATGTTCAGGAATTTAATATCTAGGCGACTTGAAAAAGTATGTGCTACTTCAAAACTGGAACAGAACAAACTCCAGTATTTGAAGTGTCTTTTTTGTTTAATGTTAAATGTTTTAACATTTTGCTAAAAATAATGGTCTCGTATCAGTCTTTTTGGCTTGTTTTTGTTTACTGGTGTTGGCTAGTTGCTTCCATACATGGAGACTTGCAGTCATGCTCTTTATTTTAATAGAGCTTAGTGGTTCTAGGAAGTTGTTTTGTTTTGTTTTTTTTTTTTTTTCCTACCTGCATCTGAAACTACTTTTACATTCTTACAGTGTCAACAGTCTACACAAGCTAAATCATTGTGACAGTAATAGAATGAGACTATTGTCCTCTAGAGATCTGTGAAGGTTATTGCTGCTGATCACAACAGGCGGATACTACTACAGGGTCAGCTAGTACAAACAATTCCTGTTGGTACAGAAACTTGTCATTGACTGTATGGTGCAAATGAGATATAGATATATATTCAGGTGTCTGCATATAGAGACACTGATTATTTATTGGGAAAGCAAGAAATACTTCACTTTATAAAAACTGGAATAAAAATCATAATGAGTAAAATCTTTGTAAAACGAATAATCTAAGAGGAATGTTTTTAACTTGATTGCATGTATATGGTGAATCAGGAGGTGAGTATTGATGGTAACTGACAGCTTCTTCATTTCTTTAAGTAGAAAATTGCTTAGTGTGTTTATTAGCTCCACCTTTGAAGTTGCTGCCCCCTTCAGGCATATAAAGCTTCATGTAAATTAGTTCTGTACAGTGCTTTTGTTTGCTGAAATGGCTTTTTAAAAAAAAAAAATCTTTGGGTACTCAGAACTTGTCAGACAGCTGTCATATTAATACCAAGGGTTGGTGAGCCTTAAGGAAATGAGTTGAAATATTTTAAAATGGAAAACATAAAGTGTTGTAGATAAGGAAGCCACAGGCAGAAAATGAATCTTCCTCCTTTCCCTCCTCCTGCCTCTAATCTTACCTGATACAGGGTGTTGGTGGTTTGTTTTTTTTTTTCAGTAAGTGTGCATCACTTATTGGATTGTTTTCTTTACTTTGGGTTTTGCTTTTGCCTAACTGCTCTAGAACAATAACAACACTTTGAGATATTCAGGAATGTTGAAGTGTTGGATTTTATAAAATTCCCTACAAAACTCCAGATGTATTTGAAATGGAACAGACTCTTCAGAAAAGCCATGAATTGTTACGATATATGCAAATGAAAACACTACTCAGTAAACACAATTTGATTTTACTAACAGATTTCTGTAAGGACATGTAGTCAGCAGTTATAGTCAAAAATGGATACTACAAAATAAATCATGATAGACACATATGTATACATCTGTCCATTTCTGTCGCTAAGTAGTCTAGCTTGTAAGTGCAGCAGGTACTTGGTGATTTGACCCTAAGAGTCAGAAGGCCAGATTCTTGTACAGCAGGTACCAATTCATGTGTCACTGCCATTATTATCTTGTGGTTTGCACGCCACTTCCACTTGAAGGGTTCTGTTGTAGAAGAGGAAAGGGAGAGTAAAGCAATGACTGTCCAATTGTTAATGCTTATCCGTCTGCCTTAGATGGCAAAAGATGCTGCGACTCAAATATTCAGTGTAAGACCTGGAGTGCTAAATGTGATTGTCAGTCAAGTTTTATCTCAGTTAGGGAGGGCTTGAAGCTTCTTTAGATTTTACTCATTTATGCAGGGAGAAACAATAATATTCTCAGCACTGAGTACTAGTGGTACCACAGTAAGATGCTGTCCTTAAGCTGTTGAGAAGATCTCCATGGTATCTTTTCTTGTGACTTTGATGAGCAATTGTTTAAAAAGTTCCTATTGCTCATACCTTTTGGAGCTGTTTGGGTCTCAGTTATGAAATGATTTCTTCATGATTTTGCATCTAAAATAACTCATTTCCACAGGAGCTAAATTCTTTTTTTCACATAAAGCTCCTTTTTCTCCTAACCCATCTTTGAGTTTGGAGTATGAATTGGCAGTTTGGAACTGATGTACTCTCGCAGAGCATCTGTGTAATTTACATTCATTTCTGGGCCATTTTGTGTGTATTGAAAATATGCATAACAATCAATTACCTAACATAGAAACTGGCTTTTAATGATTATTGAAAATTAATTAGGTTACTTCTTAAATATGAAACTAGAAATTTCACTGAAAAACATCTTGTAAAAAATACCCAAAATATTTGTATCTGTAGTATGGAGGCAGGAGGAGGCTGAACGGATTAACAGAACTCTTACTGGAGCGGAAAGAAAGGCAGCATTTTGTGGACTTCTGGAACAAGAGGCACAGCTGATTGCTTCCATTGGGAGACACAAACTAAATGCAGATGAGGAGAATCAACAAAAAGCAATACTGCACTTTCTGGATAAGGTCAGTGGTGTAATTTTAGGCTGAACATAAAGAATACCAAAGTACAGGAACAGGAAAGACATCTGCAAACTACCTGCCCAAAGTAATTTTTGTAGCTTTAATGTTTAATCATGTGAACGCTAATGTTGTAAATATCCAAATTATCTAGTTGTTTGTGTCAGTACAATTCAGTAAATTTCTTTTTCCAAGCTGAGAATTTCTTAGCTCTGTGACTGATGGAAGGACTAACAGTTCCTCATTAAGACTCTTACATACCCGTGTCTATGGTAAATCCCAGGTGTATATATATAATAGAAAAAAATAGCACTGAGTAGAAGAATTTTGTATTATGTAACTATTCTGCATAAAGAGCATGATTCTGATGGCACTGTTAACAGCAGTAATGGCTCAAGTTCTAACAATTAAAAATGGTTGAGGTTGTAAAGCCTTAGGATATTGCACACCATTCTATATTTGGTATTGTGTGTATTACAGTGATGTAGGAATTCATGCAACAAACTATGCTCTTTCCTAATCTATTTTCGAGACTTTAAAAATCTGCCTATTAGCTTCTTTTTCAAAAATACTTAGTTTCACTAATCAAAACTAATGATTAAGTGACTTTCCATCTGGTATGTTTGGGTCATTGTTCTCTATCGTGAAAAGTTTGCTATTGTGTTGAAACTTAATTGCAAACTTTTAAGCAAGTATTTGAAAAATTAAGCTTTACCCCTGCAGAATGGATTAATTTTTTTTTTTTTCTTTTTTCCCCAAAAATGTTATCCTTCAGGAACTAGATTTGTCAATTATTTCCCCACTGAGCACAGGACTCTGGTCATCATATGTTTGTCTTCAAAGAAATTATTTATTCTGTTTTCATGTACAGGATAGAAACCCAGAAGAGCTTTGACTGAATCTTATATCGTATTGATCTCAGTTACTAATTCACTATTCTCAGTTGTGTTAGAACTTTCACTTGAGATCTTATTCTTGTAGAATCTTGGGGATGAAATTTAATGCAAGTGTTCTTCAGGCTTTCTTCTATAAAACAAAGATGAGCATTTATTCATATGCAGAGATGATTTAAAATGGCATTAGATTCAATGTCACCTTAGTATAAAACACAAAAAAAAGTCCTTTTAGATAGACGTCCCAGCAATTCATCCCCTCCAGAAAAAAGAAATAGTTTATTTTCTGGCTGTTTTCATAGTATGTGACATAAGTATGAAAAGAAATGCTGCAACAGAAATAGGGTTTTTACTATCTTTTTTTTTTTTTTCATTTTGACTATTTAGTGCTCAAAAGTAAAAATAGCAGTTTTGTCCAAAAGAGACTATATTTTTCATCCTTTTTATTCCTGGTATATGGGAACTGGACTGTTAAAAGTGATTTGATAAAATCTATTGCCTTTCTTCATTATGAACAAATTACTTATCTGAAATATTGGTGGAACTGTTACTAGATTTATCTCTGAAATGCGATTGTATTCTCTGTCACTGCTTTCAGGAGTGCAAAAAGCCCAGAAAACTAAATATTTAGAAATTATATCAAAACCTTCAATCATTTCTTTGTTAAATGTTTGCTTCTACTATTTACAGTCTATTCTGTTATCTGCTCGGAAAAAGAAGCCTGGAACAGTCAAAGCAAATATAACTCTCTCTTAACTGAGCCTCTGTCTCGTTTTTCCTTTAAGGACTGCTTTCCACTGTCCTACCCTATATGGATTACTTCCAGTATATATTCTCACAAGCTGTGCAGTTTTCTTACATCTAGGAATCAGAAACAAAATGTTCTCCAGTACTGGAATTCTTAGTGACAACTGATGTTTGGAGATTCAGGAGACACATGAGAGAGAAGAAATGCTGTCTCTTTCCAAACAGTGGACATGTTTCTGAAGCACTTACTACTAATTTATTTATTCATATTTTAAATGGTTTTAATTAAAGAGACTATTTTCTTTTTAACTTGGAAATCTAGTGAGCTTCTGAACTACTGCAACTTTTTCATGTTTTTTTTTTATCATGTCAGCTGTAGGGTTTTGAGTGTTGTTCTAAACTGTTGACATAGAGAGTAACCTAACTTAGAGGTAAAGAAAGTAACAATTTCTGCATTTCTTAAAAAATAAAATAAATGAAAAATCTTCTTAGAAATCTCAAAATTAAATGGATGGCTTGTTATGACTGTAACAGTGCAATTTAAACACTTTGAACTGTAGTATGAAATTTATTGTTGGAGTGCTAGATTATAGATTTTTCAGTTATTTCTTGAACTTTGAGCTGATAATATTAATCTGGACATTTGCCAGTTAAACTTGAAATAACACCTTTCACGTGTGAAGACTGCAAATAGCCAGTGTGATATAAAACTTGCTTCTCCATGGAAACCTTGGTTCCCTTCATTGCTTCTTTAAGCATGTAGCGCCTCGTGCATGTGTGCTTTTACAGTGGTTGCTACTGGCTGTGTGTGCACTGCATTCTAGGGGGTTCTCTTTTTGCTCAGCTCATTCTTCTTCAGCATTTGTATTTGAAAGAGGAAGTACTTGATTAAGCTTTTATACAGCAATCATATTTTCTTAAAGGAATTTGTGTAATTATTAGCTGTCGCTCAGTTCATACCTTTCATGCTTTCTGCTATTTCTGCACCCATCCCATGGATTCCCCCATGGTTTTTTTTTTTTTTTTTTTTTTTTTTTTTTTGCTTTTCTAACCTTTTTCTCTCTGTGTCTGTGGTGGTGCGTTTCTCTCCTCAGGTGCTTTTTTTTCTACTTTCGTGCATTGGCAGCAGAGTGCAGTTGTAGTAGTCTTGCTCTCTGAAGTAATACAGATAACAGGATTATTGTAAATTCCACAGCACTGCCAGCAGACTAAAAGGCAAGAAAAAGCTGGCAAAAAATATTGAAGTTTTCATTTTCTCACATCAGCCTTGAACAATGAAAATAATTCTGAAATCAGAAACCTTGTGATTCTTTCTGAAATAGTGGAAATCTTCATATTGATAAGACATCTGTATTTTTTTTTTTTCCAGGAAAAAGCGGCATAATTTCTTTCATTTTAAATTATTTTATTTTATACAGTACCCAGTTATGATGAGGTAGTACAAAAAATTACAAAAGTTACAGATATGATATCATGCTTTGAATAATTTAGATGTTATCGTGATATAGTTGGTCTGTGTTAAGGGTCATGTGCAGAGAGGAATACCAAGACTGCTAGCTCATATATGGGTTGTTGCAAATTTGTCAGAAGAACCTAGTTTTAATAACCATTTCCTGGGGTAAACTCTGTCCATTGACTCTTCCTAACAATTTCACTGAAGAGGATCAAATGTAGGTGCTGAATTAACTGCTCTGTGGAAAATGGTGGGGTTTGCCAGTCTACCACACAAAGGAGTTACAGTATGATATAGCTGCTAACGTGGTGGGGTTATTTTTGTTGTTTGTTTGGGTTTTTTTTTGTGGGGGAGTGCTGTTTTAGAATTTCTAGTACGGCACAAAGTAGTGAAGCAAAGTAATGAAGTTACAGTAGAATGCTCCTTTTTTATGACAGAGACAAAATCCTTTTTTTCTAGTTTTGCAGAAGTTCAAAGATTTCACTAAGCAATTAAGAGTTTTATTTTTTACTAATGTCTGGGTTTGCTATTGCATTTCTTAATCAGTTTTGGCTCTGAATTGTGACTTCTGATTAACAATACCTCCTTTAATTAGAGTTCCACCCCCACTGATAATGTAATTAAATGTCAGTTAATCAGTGTTAAATCCTTTTTTCAATTATTTTGTCTTTCTCTTGCTTACCTAACTTTATAACTTATTTAAAACTGAGGAAAGCTATTTTGATTGTGGTGATGACTAATGATATCTTCTGTTCTAACTGTCTAATATTCTTGGTATTTTTATGACTTCTCACCATAGTAAGCCTGTATATTTGGTCAAAATAATGATTACATCAATGCTGGGGTCATATCCAGAAAACCAGTAGGGATGTGAATGCTGCATGAAGTGTTGCTGTAGTTAACTCGCACTGAGACTGCAAAGTGAAGTTCACAACTGTTTGTGAACACTCAAATTCCAAATACAGTGAAAAAGAGAATAATTAATACACAGAATGAGGTTCCAAATAGCTGACACAGTTAAGGAAAGGGAGTGGATTTTGGTAATGATGGGGAGAGGGTTTTGAATGCTATCTTTCTATTGGATTTAGATACCTACCTCCCTATGTAATGGTGTGGTTTGCAGCCAAAACCGGTCCTCCTGAAAGAGGAGAATGGCTGGACTTCTCAAACTGTGTGGGGCAGCTGACACCGTGTAGCTTCTCACCGTCTACAGGAGTTAAAGATGTGCAAAGAGACGACTGAAGTAGTGGGCATGTGGTATGTGGTTAAGTTAGCAAACAGGAAGCTAGGTGAAGTATCCGGTAAGCTGTAAACTCCTACTCTGCCATAGTCAGGTTTAACAAAGTCTGTGCCTCCTAGCCATCTGTATAGCTAGGATAAATAGAATAGTTCCCTGGAGATATTTTGTACTGCAGTAGACTCTGAGGCCTTAAATTTGCAATCTTTACACAGTCAACAGTCCCATTGATTTTTACTGATAGTTTGGAGGGATTTATGACTGCAAGATGAAATACAGAGCAAATGTACTGTCAGTAAATTAATTTTGAAGAAGTAGAGCATATCCCTGTAGGAGAATATTATTTACTTATATTATAAGTAAAAGTTTTCATGACCTGCAACTTTAAACAAAGTGTGCAGTTGAATACTTGCTCTGGTGAAAAAGGTGCTGTATAAATATCGACAATAGAATTAGCCATTTGTTTTAGTCAAGCATTACTGTTAAGTCCCTGTTTGCTCTGGTGAAACCTGCTTGTAGCATAATGCACTTGTTCAGCTGGTGATCAGGATATAATAGCTCAGTTATACAAATTGTTTCTGAAGTGTGCACAACCTAAGAGATGGAAAGCATATGATGGAAAAATCACTGAAATGGATACACAGTACACACTCCGTGCCAGAGAACTATTTGAAATCTACCGCAGCATTAGCATGAATGACATCCCAAAAGATGAGAGAATGGATGTGCTGCTAACACTCAGACGTACGGTGAAGGTATGTTTTATTTTTCTATTTATGTTTAGCTTGAAGCTGTACTTGCCAAAGATACAGTGACTTCATTATGTTGACACATAAGCAATGCTTTTTCTGGCAAACAGGTGCCAGAATGATCAGCTGGCAGCAAGAGAAAGCCTCGTGTACCACCTGGCATGAGAGTCTTGTTACATTCCAGATACACTCTAAATTCATACTTCACTTAGTGCACATTTCTATTCAAGTTGTGTTAAAATTTTAACCCCATGGTTTTAGACTTTTTTATATACTAATACATAATACAATTTTAGTACAAAGTTTAGCTTAATATTTATAACAGCTCGATGAAAACCATGGCAGGGTTGTAAGTGACTATTACTATTTTTTTTTTTTTTTCCCCTCAGTTGTTTGAAATGTCTATTTAGAATCCTATCTCTCTGTTGTTTTGGGTTACTGGTGTTTTGGCTGGCAAAAGCCGGTTTTTTTTTTTTTTTCTTCTTTCTTCTTTCTTTGCCTTTCGCTCCCCACCCCCACTGCTGCTGCCAGTGTTCCCAGTGAATTAGAAGCTGGCTGCATTTCTTTCAGCCTTCCTGTTCTTAATTAAAACAAATGAACATCTTGCTTTGATAGTACCAGAATTTGATCTAAAGCCAATATAGCAGTGGGAGCATTGCTGGTTTATGAGCTCCTGCACATCTTAATACAAGTCAGTATTGCTGTAGTGAACAATTCTAGAATTTCTGTAAATTAGTACTCTATTTTAGGTGAAAAAACATTGATCTCATTCACCTCTTATCTCTCTCTGGAGAATCTCCTGCTAAGCATTTGAAACAGTGAAATGACTAATTTCAAGAATACTTGTAAAGTCCCCCATGTCTTTTGTGTGGTGGGGTTGGTTTGGTTGGTTGGTTGGTTGATTTTTTGGTGGTGGGTGGTGGTAGGTTTTTGTTTTTTTTTTTTTTCTTTTTACCACCTACTGTGTATATATGTTGCACCTCCTATCACATAGCCAAAGGAAGCTTCCTGGGGAAATACTTCTTGGGGCTTTTAGAGACTGAAAACCTTGCATGTGTTCTGTGCCTCTGCTCAGCATTTTTTAATGCCTCCGGGTTTACAGTTCCTCACAGCTTTGGTATAGATACAGGTCTCTTAAAGCAGGATCTGTGAGCATTCTCAGTTTTTTAGTTCTTTACATTAGTTTTCTTGGATGTTGTTTTTCCTAAGACATTAAGGGGTTCTTATATAGAATCATAGAATGTTTTGGGTTGGAAGGGACCCCTAGAGGTCATCTAGTCCAACCTCCATGAACATGTTTTTATGTGAACATGCAGAGGTATGAATGATGATTGGCAAAGAATCTATAGTTTGCTTTCATGTCTGCATTAGAATTATTTTGTTTATTTGCTTCCTTATTGTAGTGGAGTTTCTTTTCCTTTTTCTTTGTGCTTTTTTTTCAGGAACATGAATGTAAATTAACACAGGAAATAGTGGAATTAATTGACAGGGAAGTTGATCTTATGTCGAGAGACGTGAAAGAATGCAACTTAGAAGGACTGAGGAAACGAATTTGTACATTATTTCTTCAGTATATTAAAACTCCAAAGTTTAACCCTGAAGTTGCTAAGATACTTAAGGTATTATTCCTATTTTGCAGCCTGACATAGTGGCCATCGGACTGAGGATGGTGGAGAAGGGGGATGGAAAACAACAAAAAAAGCTTTCATTTTAGATTTTGCTGTAGAGTTGCTGGAGGAGTTCCTCAAGAAGTAAAATGTAGCAAGTACACAGGCTTCACACAAATAAGCTCATAGAGTCATATATGAAGCTTGAGGCATAGACATGGCTATAAGAAGCTGACAAATGGCTGCTAGCACTGACAGAGCCCAGGAACACTATGTATGAAATAAAAAATCTGAGAATTGCAAATGGCAGCTCCTATGGGATACTAACAATAAATTGTAATAGCAAATGGGGAACCGATAGAAGGAGCAATTCTCTTTTCTCTGCTGGGCAAGAAGCAGCATCCCACGTGTCCAGCAAGGAAGAACACTGCCGTTGTCAAAGTGATGTCTAATCAGCTTACAGCTAAGCAAGAGCTGTTAGGAGCTTCTGTTGTACAACCAGTTGCTACCTCATGAGAAGCAGATATAGCTATGAAGTAGAGATAGTGGTAGACACCTCTCAAGTTGTGTGATTGTTTTTCTTTTCTGCCTACAGATTACAATTGCAAATATGATTCACTATCATATCTTTTTGCTTTAGGCAGCAAGATGTATTCTGCATCTCTCAGAATAGTATTTCTCTTACAGTGGTTGATGGTATCTCACGAGTAGAGAATCTGTCAATAAATGTTAATGGGATTTAGAACCAATCAGCTGTTATTTTACACTAGGTTTATGAACAGGGTTACCTAGATGGGTCATAGCAGAGACTGGAGATGGGAGATCTCTGGCTTCTGTAGATTTTGGTTAACTGTACCTTGAATTGAAGGCTGAATTGCACCTATGTTTGTATTTGAATCTTGTAACCTTCTGTAGACTGTAAAAAAGATGGCAGTTCATCAACAGACAGTCAAGGCGACTGAATCCTTAGGGTACTTTCAAAAAAAGGTAGATGACCACACCAGGTAGCTGCACTATCAGACTACTCAAACTACCCAATTACAAACTTGGGCCCCCTGCATAGACTACATTAAATTATTTCCAGAACCCATGATGCAATATAAGGGCAAGGAGCTTATTGGCAAGTCTGGCTTATTATTTTCCCCTGCATTGTTTTTGGACATGTGGCTCTGATGATTTTATATTCTTATGCCAAAATATTAATATGCCCATAATATCACAGTTTTATTTTTAACATCAAGTGCAGATTCCATATGAAAAATAAAATGCAGAAGGATTAGTTTCTCTTTTTCTTTCTGTTGTCGTCTTCCCAGAGTGGCTGACAATTTGCATACATAAAAGTGCCAGCAAGACCACCGGAGCATAATGCCCAAGATCTTCATATAGCTTAAAAATGAATTGACTGATTTGCATAACTGATTTTAACAAGTCCAGTAAGAGAATAGAATGGCTTTTGGTCTTCTATTTTAAAAAAACCAAACAAACCAACTCCTACTGGGTATTTAAAAATAAATATTACTGGCTTTTACATATTAAAATACTTGCATGAATATATGTAAAATCCGATAGAGTTAGGGTGACACACAAGTACTTTGTGGTAAACTAACTTATACTTTGTGGTAAACTAACTTTTTTTTTTTTTTTTTAATCTTTTAGGTTCCACCAGATCCCTTAAAGCTTTATAAAAATGTTAACTTCTGTCATAGTTGCGAAAATTACTTACCATCTTCTGAGTTTCCTGTTCCTGCTAATTCCCACACCATTGGCAGATGTCGCTTGTGTTGCAACCTTGATAATGAGGCTCGGCAACGAGAAGCATTTTTGAAGTACAGGCTTATACTAGAAAATCTCAGAAAGTCTGAAGCTGATTATCAGGATGATGCTAAAATTGTTTTCTTAGTTCAGGTACTGTCTGAAAGAGCATTGGTAATAACAGAAACCAGTGGCTTTTGGCTATAATTTTTCCTTAATTTTGTGTATGTTTTTGACAGGTAGAGAAATAGGCTAAAAGCTACAAAAGCTTCTTCCTGTGATATGGGATGTTCCATACCATAAAAAGCACTTAAGCTCTTGAAGTGTAGCTGTACTTTCAAAAGTGGTAACTAGCTATACATTAAAAGAAAGTACAAGTCTAGCTGACAGGTCGAAGAATCAGATGATCCAAATTCTTCTTGTGGTTCTGCTATGGCCATCCTGTTGCTTAAAGATACTGGCATCATCTGTAAAGCAACAATAATGTTTTTATGACTGTGATATTGTTCAAGATATAATGCGTTTTAAGCCCCATTATTAAGCTGCATTATTTGGACTGTTTTGGTAATACAACTAAATTGTTTCGTGTTCTCAGAAGGAAAAAAAATAAAAAAGCAGAGGTTTTGACATTCCTGTTCCATGTCAGTGGAATATCTTTGCAGTTGAAAGTTTTACTGTTTTGCGTTTATTAGGAGAGGGATTCACTAAATATTTTCATTTCCTAATTTTTTACCATCATCTGTAATCTTTTTCAATATCACTAAATAGCTAATGTTTCTTAATAATCATTATGGGAACAACTCAGTTCAAAGAACTTGCCTCTGTCTTCAGCAAATTCTCTTAGCTGTTACTACTTATTTGGTCGAGAAAAGAATTTGACATCCAGTATCCACTGGGAAAGTTTTAAATCTGAGGTAATTTCAAAGTGTTATTTATCGAAAATATTGAACAGCTGAGATTTTTTGAACTTTCTGAGATTAGTAATAAAATCTCCACGGCATCAACATTCATAGAACAGTTTTGGAACTGTATTTTCAGTACATCTGAAACAACAACCAAGCAAACAAAAGCCAGTCATCAATATCCCACTTCTACCAAAACAAGCCATGCTGTAGTTCAGGACTTTGCAAATGACAGCTGCCAAAAAGAAGATTTGGATTCTTTAATTATCATGCCTATCTTAAGAAATACTATCAAAGAACCTGGATTTTGTAGATGTTGATCATTCATATTGGTTTTCACTTAAGCTGAAAAGTTTTTGCTCTCTGTCTAACTTAGTCTATATTAATATGTAAACATCCTCCAGAATCTTTCAGGCCTCTCTCACATCACATCACTTGTGATGGCTGGTGGCCACTGATGCACTGAAACATGACTGTTTCTTAACTGCTGACACCAAAAGCCATCTCTTGCAGTTCTGTTCGTGGTTGTACCACTGCAACAGCTCTAGACACTGTAATTTTCATCCAAATTAACTTCAAGTTCCTCTCTTTAGAGTTGTAAATATCTAAACAACAGATGTTCGTATCTTAAGTCACTAATTTCCTTGTTTTTTTCCTTACGCATCCTTAAATTATTAATTTTTTTCTGGGCTACTTGCTTTTTTTCCCTTCTCTTCACAACAACCATTTGTCCCCTACTCCACTTAGATCCAGAAAACAGCTCTAAGGCATCTAGAAATGGGTGCTGCAAAGCAGTCTTTTGCAGCAGCTATGACAGCTTCCTTCTTTGCCCAGTGTAGTACCAGTACTGGCTCTGATTTTATTCTCTGTGGATAGGTGCAACACTTTCATGAGAAGATAAAAGATTTTTCTTCAGATCTCTTGCATTCTGATTCTAACTGTGTTTGGGCTGACCACCTATATCAGTGCTGCTAAGGTTTAAAAGGCAAAAAGCAGTTGGTGAGAGTTATGGTAGCTCCACTAAATTCCTCTTACTGCAGCTAAAGACCTTCTTGGTATCAAAATGAACTAGTTCAGCAACTGTGTCGAGTCCTGAGGCTGCCTTTTATTCTTTCAGAGCATTTAACTATGCCATGCTCCTTAGAATCAATGGTACATACTATGACTTTGATTTTTCTTGATAAGCAACATCCTAATGGGAATGTCGTATTCATTTTAAGTTACAAATACACTGAACTCCAATATCGGTTTGCTGCCTACCCTCTTTTCCCAGTCTCAGCTGCTGAGCCTTCAATGATACTTGCTCCCAACCTCTTGGATGACAGTCCTTGTGAGCACAGAACAAATTATTAGGGAGGTGGGAAGGAAGCATAATTTGAAATGAATGAACCATAACATTTCACAGCAAAATGCATGCCTACCTTCAGAAAGTGCAGAAGTCTCTTAAATCAAACTCTTCCCCATAACCTGAGAAGTTTTAACACAGAACAAGCTTTTACCTATTTTTCAGGCAGGAAAAAAACAATTTAATCCAGAAAAAAAGGAAGAGTCGAATTATGGATCTGTTTTACATGGACACTTACATGCCTTCGTATAGATTTTTGCAAGATCTGGTAACTTTTGAGATATGTTGCTTAGCACACAAATTAGTACTTGCCAATATGTCTGCTTGCAAATTGCCGGCTTCTAAGAAGAAGTTAGAGAAGTTATTTGAAATGTTGTGGGAAGGAGGAAATACTGAAAACAGAAGCCAATTAGTGAAACCTAGTAAAGGAGGCCCTGTAGGACTAGATTTAAGACCAGATGTAGGAGCAGTCCTGTGTTCCTGGAGCCAGTAGGCACAGATTTATTACCAGTGGAGGTTCTAAGTCCAGCTTTTGTCTTACATTTTCCCTGCAAGAATTTACATGGGCTCCTGGATTTTGGAAGCATGATGGATGAGAATACATGAGGCTACTTTTCACTAAAGAACCGTGTTTGGTATAGTTTCATTCATTCTTTGTCAGGATTTTAATAAGTAACATGTAAGCACCATTATTCAATTAAGTAAGTCAAGATTTCTTTTTAGTGAAATAACTCTTCTTCAAAGGGTTAGCTTGGAGGAAAACCTACTTAAAAGTCTGTTGTTTACAGACCCCTGATAGAATCATAGAATCGTTTAGGTTGGAAAAGACCTTCAAGAACATCAGGTCCAACCATTAACCTAAGACTGCCATCCCACCACTAAACCATGTCCCTAAGCACCTCGTCTGCCCATCTTTTAAATACCTTCAGGGATGGGGACTTGACCACTTCCCTGGGCAGCCTGTTCCAGTGCTTGACAACCCTTTCAGTGAAAAAATTTTTCCTAATGTCCAACCTAAACCTCCCCTGGCACAACTTCAGACCATTTGCCCTCGTCCTATCTCCCATTACCAGGGAGAAGAGGCCAACCCTTACCTCATTACAGCCTCCTTTTAGGCAGTAGTAGAGGGCGATAAGGTCTTTCCTCAGCCTCCTCTTCTTCAGGCTGAACAACCCCAGTTCCCTCGGCCGCTCCTCGTAAGCCTTGTGCTCCAGACCCCTCACCAGCTTTGTTGCTCTCCTCTGGACATGTTCTAGCCACGCAATGTCTTTCCTGTAGTGAGGGGCCCAAAACTGAACACAGTATTCAAGGTGTGGCCTCACCAGTGCCAAGTACAGGGGCACGATCACTTCCCTACTCCTGCTGGCCCCACTATTCCTGATACAAGCAAAAGACAAAAGTCTTCTAATAATTTTCCATGACTAATACAGAGAAGAATTAATGGAGGGTGACAGAAAAACTTGCCAAAGTTCACTGATAACTGCTTTCCCATTTTTTTTTTTCTTTGTCATTCAAGAGGCTATTTTTATCAAGACTCATTAGTGATTTCAGATGGCTGGTAATAAATTAAACAAATTAAGATTGACATAACTGGACTTTTAACCTATGTTGAAGGTTAATTTAAAGGCCTTTCTGTACTAGAGAACCTTTACAAACAGACCTTCCATTATCTCTTATTAATACTGTAGCATAGCTACCTGATCTTACAATCTCATTTGGTAAAATGAACAACAGCCCCACAAGCACAATAGACTTCATATGTCAACAGCAGAGTGAAGGGAAGCAAGCAAAGCAGGCAGTGATTTGGGGTCTGTTACAGGTGGGAGTTTCTCTTGCCCTAATTTCCCACATTTTCCAGGCCAGATTATTTTGGTATTATGTAAACTTTAAGTAATTTAGTAGTGTAATAATTCGTTTATTGAATAACATTAATTCTGAACCAAAGAATGAAATGGTGAAATCATGTCAGTAATGACAGAGATTGATTATTGTTATTAATCAAAAAGATCTGAATAGGGCTGGTGCATGCTACATGAGAAAAACCATGAGATTTAAGAAGCTTTATAAGAGCAGTTAAGCAATCAGTATGTTAACAGAAGATATGAATTGCCATTGGCAGAGGCAATCAAAGTAAGAATGTATTATTTTAGAGATGATAGAAGAAAAATGCAGTTAATAATTGCCACACCATGCTAAAGGGAGATGTGTATGTCTAGACATTCTTTAACCAAATGATTATATGACACATGCATAGAAAAAATTTTTTACTCAAAGCTTTATTTGGATTCCAATATGATTACAATGCTTTTGTTATAAAATGAAACATGCTGCTTAACCCTGTTTTCCATTTCAGCGTCAAGATCTGCAGTACATGATTGAGAACATATGGGGCTGTCAGTCGGCTCTCAGTGCCTGCAGTGATCTCTATGATTTGGTTATGGTCAGATGGGATAAGCAGCATGAGTGGTCTCCGTGGAACACTATTCTCCTCACTAAAGATGAGGCAGATGCACATCTTAGACTGTGTAACCTTCAGGAGGTAAAATTTGATGGGCTTAATTTTTTACAATATTTATATTATGTTTTAATAGAATCCTGTGACTAATGATACTTGGCCAAATTTAGTCCTTACACTCATCCGTGTTTAAATTGGCCCATTGTGACTATTTAAATGATTGCATCTGTACTATTAAATAAAACAGGCACTAGTCCAGAGGGCAGCTGGTGTAGTACAGCTCACATCCATGTACCTGAACTCTGTCTTGCCCTGATTCTTCCTCCCGAAATGCAAGAAGCTGAGTGGACTCATCCATGCTGCCTGCTGAGAACAGTGCCATGCCTATGCTCTTCCCTCAGCTGAGATCAGACAAGAGCTGGCCTGGATGAAAAACATGCTAGGACTAACCATAAATACTGTGGCAGTTGTGTGTCTGTGCTCTTGCACATGCTCTGGCCTCATTAGTTTCCGGCCTTATAAATTTCTCATCAAATAACAGAATGGCTCTTTGTCTAGAACTTAACCATTTGTCACAATAAAATTTGTCTCAGTCTACTTTCTTACATAGATGTCAGTTAAGTACCCCTGAAAATGTAATCTTATAGTTTTTAATTAAGCAATAAAAACATAATTGCTGCTCTCAGTTGAAAAAAACTTAAGAATTTGTTAAAGAAGTCATTGCAATGGTGCATTTTTACACCACTCCCTCCAAATTCCATATGTAAATATAGTAGTCCGGTAAATATCTCACTCCACTGGACTTCATATGATAGAGTATTTAGTTTTCTAAGGCACAAGAGAATCTTAATGAGTTGTGTTTGTCCTGCAATTGGTAATAGATTATTAATCCTTTCACATCTGGGTTATTAATTTATGTAAGTAGTGATCTGAGGTCATTGTTGTATAGCGTCCTTTTGTTCAGGCTGTTCTTAATTCAGTTTCTAACATAGTATTCCTGAGGTTGTAATGCAGTCAAAGAGAGAAAGGTGGGAGGGGGGGATGCACCACCACAGAAGTGGGCCAGATATAGTGAGGTGTCACCTTTCTTCACTGGTAAGGGCCAAGACTTTATTTAAAAAAATGAGTGTGAAATAATGAAAATGAGGCAAAGTTAGAATCTTGTAAGTTGAATTATTGTTTCTCATTGACTGAAACAAAAAAGGCCTCTCAAACCGTTTCTTTAATAGCAATTATACATAATGATGACTATAGCGATAGCAAAGGGTTTTTTCAACTAAATATTCTGGTGGTTTATTACATCATCTGAACTACTACTAATCACTAGAAATTTAGGAAAATGCTACCACTGAATGCAAAGGCTGACTGAAAAGCTGCAAAATGCTTGCTGCCATGGTTAGTTGTAAGTAATCACTCTGATTCTTATAAAGGAAATTTCCCATAGTCATCACCTTGCAAATGTTGATATTTAAGCATTGCCTTTAATTTTCAAAGGTAAGTACAATGTTCTTACCCGAAAAGAAATAAATAAATTTTATCTTAAATAGAAAAAAAAAAAGCCAGAAATTTTTCTGTTTTTTAAAAAGTGCCTAATGCTTCAGAAGGAGTGGTTAGTAATTTTTCACTATTGGGCCATAAGGTAGCAGTATAGAACTATAAAATATTTCATTATGTATCATATATGAATAAATTATCTGGCTTAATTTATTAAAGGGTCACCATTTATACTGTTTAAATATGAAGCAACATGTAGATTGCTAGATATTGTAATTGTACTTAATGGGATTTGGTTTTTTTTTCCTTTCAGGCTTATGAAGCGGCATTTATTCACAGAATAAAGCATAAGCATATCCGGGCAAAAAACTACTTTGCTCAGTTTCCAGCGATGGCATCATTTTTGCATAGGACTGACAATCAGGCTAATGCAAACGAGTTTTTGATAGCTACACCTATTCCTACTGGTACAAAGACATAAGTCTTAGGTGAAGTTAACTGAAGTTAAAGAAGTTAACTGAATTCTTGATTGATGCAATTTCTTTGGTTTTAAAGAAATGTACTTTTCATCACTACCTTAATTGTATTACACATTTCAAAATAAACTTCTGAGGATAAAATTATTTGGTCTTGACCAGTCAATATAACTACATTTCATGTTTTGTAACCTCATTTAAACAGAAAAATGTTGTTGATGAGCTTTGAAAATTCTAAATTTTTAGAGCAATGACTGCCTTTCTCTGGTGAGTTTACCTTGGCTGGACGCCAGGTGCCCACCAAGCCAACCTATCACTCCTCTCTTCAGCTGGACAGGGGAGAGATAATACAACAAGGCTCATGGGTCAAGGTAAGGACAGGGAGAGATCATTCACCAATTACCATCATGGGCAAAACTGACCTGATTTGGGGAAATTAATTTAATTTATTACCAATCAAATCAGTGTAGGATAATGAGAAATAAAACCAAATCTTCAAGCGCCTTCCCCCCCACCCCTCCCTTCTTCCCAGGCTCAACTTCACTCCTGAATTCTCTACCTCCTCCCCCACCGCAGTGCAGGGTGATGGGGAACGGGGCTTGGGGTCAGTCCATCCCACGCTTGTCTCTGCCGCTCCTTCCTCCTCAGGGGGAGGCCTCCTCACACTCTGCCCCTGCTCCAGCCTGCGGTCCCTCCCACGGCAGACAGTCCTCCATGAACTTGCAGTGTGAGTCCTTCCCACGTGCTGCAGCTCTTCACCAACTGCTCCAGTGTGGGTCTGTCATTTCCACGGGGTGCAGTCCTTCAGGAACAGACGGCTCCAGTGTGGGTCTCCCACAGGGTCACCAGCCCTGCCAGCAAACCTGCCCCAGCCTGGGCTCCCCCCAGAGTCTTGCCAGGAGCCTGATCCGGCGCAGGCTTCCCATGGGATCACAGCCTCCTCCCTTTGGGCATCCCCCCGCTCCGGCGAGGGGTCCTCCCCGGGCTGCAGGGGGGGATCTGCTCCCCCGTGGGGCTCCCCGGGCTGCAGGGGCACAGCCTGCCCCACCATGGGCTGCCCCAGGGGCTGCAGGGGAATCTCTGCTCCGGCGCCTGGAGCCCCTCCTGCCCTCCTGCTGCACTGGCCTGGGGGGCTGCAGGGCTGCTCTTCTCACATCCTCTCACTCCTCTCTCCCGGCTGCTGTTGCGCAGCAGGTTTTTTTCTTTCCCCTTCATTGCTGATGGGCTTGGCCTTGGCCAGCAGCGGGCCTGTCCTGGAGCCAGCTGGCATTGGCTATGCCAGATGTGGGGGAAGCTTCTGGCAGCTTCTCACAGAAGGCACCCCTGTAGCCCCACTGCTACCAAAACCTTGCCACGCAAACCCAATACAGTTTCTGTCTATGCCTGTCTTGCTTGGAACATTCTATCTGTAGTGTAATATTCCTGTTGGGGAAATTTAGCTAATTCTTTGTCACCTTTTCATTACAAAAATAATAGTATAAGCACTGTATTACATTTATTTCTCATCTTAAGTGTATAAAGCAGAAAACCCCTCAAACCCTAAATTCCAACAGAAGAACGGAATTGATGTGCCCTTCCAAATATAGCTGCTTTGCCTTGCAAACATTTGTGTAAAACTTTACTTTTTATAGCTCATCTTGATGGTTATAGTGGAACTGCCACCGTTTAATTATTGTATCCAAGATCTTGAAAATATTGTAAATCAGACTTACAATTTGAAATACACGATTCAGACTGTTCAGAATGTTTATTTTTTGAGGAGTTTGTGTTATTTAAAGTAGAAATCAATTCTCTCTGTAAACTTATTTAGTTATGTTCTATTATAGTTACAGAGAAAAATACGATACGGTGTACATTCAGTGAAGTCCTACAGAAAGTTGCAAAGTTCTACTTGAAAACTTTATCCTAGATGTGGTTTTCATCCAGGACAAAGCCTTTTGCTCTGACAAAATTGTCTAGTAGCATTTACAAACAGAAATAAGCATATATTTAGCAGCAAACAGCTGGAAACAGGATTGACTCCCTCAACAGAACATGAACTGTAAAACTAGTGCCCGACTGACCAGTGCATTCTAACATCAGTGGAAGTTTTCCCATTGATTTTACCATTAAATTCAGATTCTGGATTTCGAGTTCAGTACTGAACTAATTGTAGAATTGCAAAACTGAAGCACATGAGTGTTCTGGTTGACTTACGTGTTTTCCAGGATTTGAGTCTTAAGATAGGAATGGTTGCTAAGATTGGGCTTCTTCCAGAGTGATAAAAGGATTACATTACAACCCCAGGAGGATGATTTAAATAAATGGTAAGGAAATAGTGAATAGTCCTGAAAACCATCAAGGATGAAGAATGCATAACCCATAGCAGCAACATGTTCTAGTGCTTGAACTGTCCTCATCTTAGAAACATTTTTCTTTTCAATAGAACGTGTTGTCTCTCATCCTCTTGGTATGCACTCCTGTAAAGAAACTGGTTCCATCTTCTTGCTAATATCTTTTTAAGTTTTGGAAAGCTACTATCAGGTTTTCCCCAAGCCTTCTTTTCTCCAGGTTGAACAGGCCCAGTTCCCTCAGCTTCTCCTCATGTGTCAAGTGTTTCTGCCCCCTTAGCTTCCTGGTGGACGTCTACTGAACTCGCTCCAGTTTATCAGAGCCCTTGAGGGGCCCAGAAGTGATGCAGTATTACAGATTTATGCTTGAAGAGTTCTAGATTCTATATTCAGTTCAGTATTCTCAAGGAAACAAGTGTTTTGGCCTGCTAGAGAATTGCTCACACACAAATTTTTTTTGTTTTATGCAGAAGTCCAGAAGGTGGTCCCTGACAATGGCAGTGCCAGTTAACCACACTGTGAAAGCTCTTGCAAATAGTTCTGTGCACAAAACAAGTGACTACCTGTATGAAGTGAAAACTAATGTCTTCCTTCGCATCAGCGTCCAAAAATGACTTTTAAAAGCTTAGAAATTGAATGTTTTGGAGAAAAATGGAAGAAGTATTTTCAATATTTTGGATATCTAATTGAATCCTTTCATTAGGGCAAAGCCAAGTAAAGCCAACATAATTAAAAAATAGGGTAATATTTTTTTAAAAAAAATCTAGCATAATTGAAATTAGTATAAAATCCTTCATGTTAGTTTTCTTTAATTGCTACTTTGATCATCATAAATGTTTTGTTGATATTTTTACTGAATTTAAAAGCAGTGATTTTTTACCCCTTTTTGTCCATAGCATTTGTAATTGTATTGTATTCTGAAAAGCAATTAATTTAAAACTGTTCTCTAATAGTACTGTGTTGCTTCACCGTTTATGCAGCTTACAAATGATATTAAAAAGGTACTGGACAAGTATAAAGAATGAATCTCCATATCAGGCAGTGGCAAATACTGGAAAAGCTGACTGAAAGGATCAGAGTCAGATTAAAGATGTTATATTTCTATAAGTCATTGCATTTTATCAGGAAGCAAAAACTGTTCAGGTAAAGGTTCAGATCTGCCAGTTTCTGTTAGAACTGAGTAAATTCTTTAAAAGCACAGCTGATCATCTTTGCTTGAATTTCAGAGAGTTACTCACAAGATGGTTTTAGATTCTGTTGGCAAAAAAAGCCTCTGCTTTGGATCCCAGATCTTTCCTGGATAATGAGAACAAATGATTGCAAAGCGTCAATGCCTCTTCAAAGCAGAATAGGCTGTAAGATGAAATTTTAACCTTCTCTTTTCACTTCTGAGAAGCGGCTAAAGTGATAGGCTTATAAAGTCTCTTAAATTGTAGCTTAAAGGTTGAGACTGTGAGGAGTCCACACGTCTGAAACACTGGTGAGAAATGCTGGGCTTGCCTCAGTTCTTTCCCAGATGTAGATGCTCACTACCAGGAAAAGAGGATCGGTCCATATGGCTTGTATTTCTCCTTCTGCACTAGCAGAGACGCGAGGCCAAGTAACACCTGCACCTTACCTCGCAGGACTCTTCTGTGAGCAGTGCTCTTCAAGCATGAAGCAAAATTTGCCGTTTACCCACCGCCAACACCACTGGTAATCCATATCCAGAAGGAAATGTTCCGGCTTTCTTCCCACGTACACAAGTGGGTAATATGTTAATTTGGCAGAGGAACACGCATTTTGCTTCCCCACTCCCAAGAGGAAAGTCCATGCTTTTTCCAGGATGTAAATCTCCCTATTTATGTCTCAAAGGAAGAAGAGCTCAGAGTAATCGCTCCCTCTACCTCCTTGTCCCAAAAAATTATCCCACTGAACAAAGCATCAATTCCCTCCTTAGATCATAAAATGATTGTGAAAAGTGATAAAACAGAATAATAAATTGAATATGTAAGGGTAGCAAAGTAGTTGCTGACCAATACTTGGATTCTTGGATTCTTTTAATTATTATTTATCTTTTTAAACAGCTAAATTTGCCTATGTCTACTACCTGAGCTATGGGAAGAGGTTCTTTAATACGCTGCTGTAGTACCATGTTAGCTCCCAAACCTATTGCTCAAGGATCACATCTGCATGCAAAATGGATGGCACTTATTTTTGTCACCTGTCTATAGATAGTTCTTTTGGCTTATCTTGCACTGTAAATGGTCCTTGTTGCAACAGTCATCCCTTTTAGCCTGACTTACAGTCCTAAATTTACCTTCATTTCACACAAATCTGGCATTCACACTTCTTTTTATTCAAAATTTTTTATATCAGGGATGCAGAATTCTGAAGTCGAGAGGATTTTTTCTTTTAAAAAGGATTCATAAGCAAAAGAAATTAAGCCTCTATCATCTTGGTCTTTTTTCCCCATTATTTTTTATGAGTCCCATATTTCAACTTTGACAGGATAGAAAATATGTGGGATATGTGATATGCATACAATTGTAAAAGAAAGCATATGTAAATCCAGAGAAATGGGTAGGAGTAGAATGTAAATATGGTATGTCAATATTATAGCTTCTCATAATAAAATCATTTTAGTTAAGTGGAGATATATGGTAATGCAAGTATTTTTTTTCTTCATTGCAGTTTCATAATGATTTTACTGTAGCCTGAGTTCCAGTATTTTGAATTCGTGTTGGATTTAAAAAAAATCTTCATGTGCAAGCAGTTCTAAACCTGGACTCAAGATCAAGGAAAAGGCCCTGTGGAAAATGCAGTGGTAAACTGTGTGCACTTTTGTGTACACTGACAGACATCAATCAAAAGTGGGTTTAGGTTCCTGCTCACTGATAAAAGAACCCCTGCGATCTTTTTGCAGTAGGTTTATTTTTTTCCTATCCTTTGGTAAGAAATCTTTATTTTAGGAGTGGAAAAAAAAAAGGAGAAAATATATGCAGATGCCTTTGTGGGCCAAATTTACTGAGGGAGGCAAATTAAAATCCCAGTCAATGGGTTCTTCTCATTCCTTTTTTTCAAAGCTTTCTTCACTTGTTCCCAAATTGTGGTTTGTGGTGAAATATTAAAAAGGAAAAAATCAGTTTGTTTTTAGTTAAAAGTTTGTTCATAAATAATATGGTAATCTGAGAGAAAACAATCTGATTTTGTTTCAAAAAGTTTTGAGATTGTTTCTGTAAGGCAGAATATGGAGTACACCCACCAGCTGTGCTCCATCTCACTTGTGTGTGATTTGGTTAGCGTGTGCAAATGCTCTCCAAAAGATCCAGCTCAAACCAAGGGATAATCAGGTTTTGAGATGTTATTACCAGCTGGGAAGAGACAAGGACAATAAACCTTTTCTTCATAATTCTCTCCCTTGTATTAGTTTCTCTTCCGTTTTCATTAACCTATTTCAATTCAACCATTTCAGAAACAAGAAGCCAGGAATCATCCAGGGTGTCAGCCTTTGAGTGTGGACTTGTAAGAGAAGTTTCAGATGCCAGCAGTGGAATTTTTGAAACGGTGTAAATGCTTTTAGCCCTATGAAAATGCATGTCACTTGAGTGCTAGTCACTGGAATTGTCAAATACTTAGCAATGAATCATTTGGTCTTGTGGTGAGCTTCCTATCAGGTTACAACAACGATTTGTGCAACACTATATATTTGTTGGTCTTGATTTCCATACATTCAGATCACAGTTGAGGGCTTATTCTGATGTGGAAGTCCTGGCAGTGTTAGTCATATTTATCACCTGTATTAATAACGGAGGATACCCACTAGAACCTACTCTTCATCAGTCCGGATTAGAAGTATAGTAAGATACGCTTCTTTCTTGCTCTGTTTCGCAAGGCAAGGATCTCTGCATCGTGCAAGCGGAAGAATGAACAATCTGAGGCCTGGCCTTAGAGGAATAAAAGAAACTGTAGAAGTAGAAATGCATTATTTCCCTAGACCGCCAGCTGCAATGCAAATCTAGTAGGTTCTACAAAATTGAAAGTTTCACTTGAAATTCTGCAATTCCTTTAGTGTTCTGTGGGCAACTACATTGTGCATTCTTGATTTATATAATGCTTACCTTCAGTTTGTCTTCATTTCTTATATGAAGGTTAATTGTAAGAAGCAGACAGGAAGAGTTACAATCATTTGGCTTTGTGGGCCGGAGGTGCACACAAAAACTGGCAAGACTATTCTGGACAGTTATGTGAGAAACCAGGTCTCTCATGTTCTGGAAGATACCTTGGAAAGATCAAGCACTTCTAGAATTACGAAGTATTTTGCTTGTGTGGACTGAACTATTCAAATTCATTCTAAATTCTGTCTAGGGTGTCACAGTTCTACCCCTGTCTTTGTGCTCTGAATTGCTATCTTACCTTAATGCACCCTTAAATAGATGAACAAACACGTGCTTGTGAAAAGGGAAATGAAGGATTTAGGCTGGACATTAGGAAGAATTTTTTTCACTGAAAGGGTTGTCAAGCACTGGAACGGGCTGCCCAGGGAAGTGGTTGAGTCCCCATCCCCGGAGGTATTTATAAGATGGGTAGACGAGGTGCTTAGGGGCATGGTTTAGTGGTGGGATTGCAGTGTTAGGTTAACAGTTGGACTTGATGATCTTAAAGGTCTTTTCCAACCTAAACAATTCTATGATTCTATAAAATATCTCTGAGGAGAAGAGGGAAAAATGCAATTAAAGGGTTAACCTCAGTGTTATGTACAGGTAACACAGAGAAGAAAAGGACCATGTAGATGATTGGTTTTATTGCTTCACTCAAAATTATTATTTTTGTCTCAGAAATCTGATTTCAGATTGAAATGATGAACAAATTGCCCTATATATTGGACAACAGCACTGTAACAGTATGCTGGGAGTTAAGGCATATGGATTTCATTAATCAAGCTATGTGTGCTCAGATTCAGAAGTGCATGTCTCTGACATCTGTTTATATCTTCTCTTGCAATTTTCATTGTGCTTCCTTATTTTTCTCTTGTCATAACTTGTTTTAACATAGCTAACAATTTTTTTTTGCACATTATCCCTAACATCTTGTTCTGATTGTGAAGAGGCACCCGTGTCTTGTGCTGAACACGTGCCGAGTGACTGCTGCTGCCTAATGTAGTCACAAGGTATAGAAACAGCTCAGTGCTTGGCAGCAGCAAAAAAGTATGCTGGAGGAATTTGCTTCCCAGCATGAAGAAATTCTCCATGACTGTTTTGATCTTGCCTGAGACTTGTGAAATACTGAAGTCATGTCAGGTTCTGAAGTGATTATAATCTGCTCCTGACTTTTGATATTTTTGATTTTTGGGACAGCATCGCTCCATGCAAATGATTGCTGAACGATTCCGTAGTTTCAGTGGATACGCTCCAAACGTACCATTTTCTCACTCTCTTCCTTCTTGCTGGAATCTGCAATGGATAGATTTACTGCAGATTTCAAACCTGTCAACACCCAAATGTGTGACACCAGCTCTCAATGCATGTGAAAGAGCTAAGCTGGGGGACATGATAATATGTAGCAGGGGAAGAAGATAGAAGTTCTGCAGAATACATTTTGTGCAGCACAGAAAAGTTTTCTATAAACTCCATTTTGAAGTTGAGCAATTCTGTTATCAGCCTGCAGTTATCAGGGAGTTGGAAAACAGTAGGGCAGGAGTTTGGACTTCACGACTCTCCCTTGTACTGGAAAGTTAGAGGACTCTGTCTGTGCTTATACTGCGGAGGGTTTTATGAGCCGCTTAAGTCACAAAACTGAAAGTTATTAAAAGTACATGTAACCCCCAACGGCAAGCTCAGGAAGTCCGTGTTTTGAAAGTTTCCACTGTTGCTACAGAGCAACCTCACCCAGCCGCCTGGCTGGATCCGGATAGCCGCAACTGAACCGGAAAGCACAGCTGGGCATAGGCTCGGACTTCCCTTTGCCGCTGGCCACTGACGGACGCGCTCGCCTGGAGCCATGAGGCAGCTCTGCGCTGCGGCTCCGGCCCCGCTGCTCTGCGCCCTCGCCCTGCTGCTCAAACCCTCTCTGTCGGTGGAGCATGTGCCGATGCTGCTTTGGTCAACTCAGAGGTAAGAAATCTGATAAAAGAGTATCTCTGCTTATGCTGTTGCTCTCTCTCTGTGTGCAGGATGTATTGTATATCGTCAGTTGTGGTAAATAACCTCTGGGCAATAAAATTCCCCAATAAATAAATTTGCCTCTCATCAATCGAACAACGTAACAGTTGAATTTACCTGGTTTTATTTATGATTTTAGTGTTCTAAGCTGGACAGTAAGAAGTAAATAAACGCCATATTCTCCAAATCTGAAGTAGATATGCTTTACTCACCCTAATGCAACCACAAGCTCCACTCTTAAGAGGCGGCGTGACTTAAAGGCACAACATAAGGCAGTTTCACAGAAAGGAGCTGACCAAAAACTCTGCGGGCATCTTTAATCCTTGCGTTTCCTAGCTCCTGAATCCCGATTTTTCACTTTAATGTTCTTTTTAATGCATTTTTTTAATAGAATACACTTCTGTATGTATAGACATCAGTTGTTAAAAACAGCTGCAGAGACTTGACACATCCAGACACATGACATTCAGGGGTTTGCATATACTTATGAAATAAAACTTTGAACCTATCTTGAAAGAGCCAGATATAGACCTCTTTTTTTTTTTTTCCAACCAGGAATTTTATTCATACAGACTTTAAGGATTTCATATCATTACTTGGGGTTTCCAGAAATACAGCAGCCTGGGCAAGGCAGTAGCTTCAAAGCAGAGTACTGGATATGTAAAGCTGTCGGAGGACTATGCGCTGCGTATTCACAAGGCTGTCTCTGCAGGGCATACACATTAGTTTTGTCTAGGAAGTACTTCCCCAAAATACAGTAAGCCAATGTCTGAAATTTGTAAGAAAAGGCTCTTGAGGGGCTAATGGGATCACAGGACTGAATGGAAGGGCTAAAGGCAAAATCCTGTTCTGGGTGGGAAGGCGACAGCAGATCTGCTGTACTCTAGGTTTGCCTAAGGCGTGCTTTGGCCCGAGTAAATCACATGACTCTTTCCTCCTAATTCCTCAATCCTCCACATTCTTGACCTGATTTATCTAAATTGTAAATCCTCTTGCAGAGAGTTCATCTCCTACCTTCTGCAAGCATATATGTGTTATTCCTAGTTCAGCA